GGGTTCTCTCTGCAGAGGATGCCTCTCTCTCTAAGGGGGTCCTTCTGCATTTGTGCATAAAGTATTATCCTTCATTCTTTTGTTCCCAAATGACTTCTGATTGTGCTCTTTTCTCCACCAGGCTCTACACAGGAATCCTGTGGTGAGTTTCAGATGATATGTGACCAATTCAACGTGGTTTCTGAATGATAAATATGTTGCTCCTATTAAATTTCAAAAGATCTTTTCAAATAAAAGGAGGAAAATATCTTTCAAAAAGTTTGGTATTCACCAACATTTATCCTGTTTCTACATGCTTGCTGCTTCATATATTAGAGTTTAGATTGTTATACATCATTATTGCTTGCTTAGATTTCTTTTATGTCCAGGTTTGTATTTCCATTTGACATGAGTCTCTCAAACTTTTGAATTTTATTTCTGTAATACAGGAAACTTCTCAGTTAGTGAGACCCAATATGGCATCTCAGTTACGGTAGACAATGGTCGGTCAAGTAATGTAACATTTGAAGATGAGGATGGTGAAAAGTACAAACTGGAATTCCAAAACGAATTGAAGATTTCACTGGAGCCCTGTACAACCTACAGTAACATAAGCGTAACTCAAGGATCCTGCATCTTACAATCAAATTCATTAAATTCCATCCAAACCAAAGATATTGGTAAGCCCAAGATTCAGTTCTGTATGCTATAAACATGTTCAAAGTTTAAAAAAACTTCTATAATTAAAACTGCCCTTTCTCTTCCAGTATTCATCTGATTCTATTTGTTTCTTATAGCTCTAGTCATGGTTATGATATTAATGTCATTTGAGGTAATTTTGGCTATTTTTCCAGCAAAGGATGACATAGTAATTTGCACTATACCCTCACAGCTCTAGTGATATGCATGATGTTTGCATGCTTTCCTGGTTTTGCTTGGGTCTGGTTTCCAGGCTGGTTATAATGGGTGAGAAATATGGAAGATGAGTGTTTGACTTAGTTTTGTGTTCTAATTCTCTTAGCCGCAGGTGACATCAGCTTCAATTTGACAAATGATTTGCTGTGTTACTCAATGAAATGGAATGTGACTCTTAGAATTACCCAATTTAAAGATACTTGTCTTAAAATGAAGAAGGAAGATTCTTGCCAAAATTATAACTTCACTGTCACAGCAACGCGGTGTAGCAGCATCACCAAAGAATATCATGTAGGACCAGGTACATTTATTTTAATTCTGTTGGTTTGTTATTTGAAATATTTTTTGTAATGCAAACAAATCTGTGAAGGCTACAGCATGGCAATGATAATCATAATTGTTATGTAAGACATTTCTTTTCAATTTATAACATAACAGCATTTCATCATAAACCGACTGCTATGATTAAAATTTCATTTAGTATTAGTCAGATTCCCACTTAAAATGACCATCGTTCTCAGAAACAGTGGAGACTGTCTACTTGTGATTCACTGATGTTATGAATGAAAGCTGAGGTAATCCATCTAGTTTCTGACATACAGTATTTAACTTTTTACATCTTTGTTTCTAGTTATAGAAACCAACTCACTGAAGTATAATGGAATCTGGCCACCAAAAATAGAATGGGCAAATCAACCGGAGAATTGCAGTAACATCACGCTTCATTACAGCTGCAGAAATAAAAGCCAAGGTAAATAAATACTGCAAGTGGTTTCAAATTAGAATAAAAAATTAAAATCAACCGTAAATATTTACAAACTCTATCAAACATTTACATTTAAAGCGAATATAATTTAAATTTCTAAAATTATCTGAAATTCCAACCTAATATGAAAAGTAAATAATGTTGTTTGATAAGACACTATATAGATGACACCAGAATTGTTTTTTTATTATTATTTATTAGAGATTTTCAACCTTGGTCAACTGATGCCACAGCACAATTACACCTGCACTGCGAATGTAAATTACAGAAATGACACCTTCATTGTTAAGGATATAGCAGTTAACATCAGCTGTGGTAAGTACAAACTGAACATGTTTAATTCTTTTTTTAATTTAACATATTTTTATATTGCTTTTGTATTGTTCCTAAGGGAAATACGTAAACATATTGTCTGATTTTCTTCCATAAAGAACATATCTTTTACTTATTTCTTTTACTTAAATGTTTTGAATGCCTTGTATCGGATTTTCTCAGCACACAGAATTATTAAAAGAGCTTTTAATATAAATAATGTAAAATATTTAAAGTTTTAAAATTGAAAATTACAAAATATGCTGAACTGCAAAAAGCACAATAAAATAACAATGATGACTGTCTCATATTTTCTTCCTAGATATAAACATACACCTGGACAATAAGACAGGAAATACTTCTGTCCAGCTCATGTTGAACAGTACAAGCACACAGTGTCCTCAGCTCGTGCATAATCTTACTTTTAAAAGTTGTGAAAAAGGAAAAGGTAAGTTATAGTACTGTGATAACAAACTGAGTACCTCCTCTTAATCACAATTTAATTTGGTTAAGTGTAATTAATTTAATGAGATGAATTAGTTCCTATTTAGTAAAACAGAGCTGAGATTGAGTGATAAGCAGCGTTCCCTTAATGGCCATTTATTCACCCTCTGATTTAGACAATATAACATTATGAGGAATAATGAAATAATACATAAGCTGCTTTAATGGGCTGCCCAGTGGTTAATTAAGGATACCACTGTGGCTTCATACCTCCAGGGCTGTGGGCTCTATTCCTCCCAGCTTTCTTGTGCAGTTAGGATGTTCTTCCCATGTCTGTGCTGATTTCCTTCTTGAAATGCAGTACCTTCATGTCGTTAGGCAAACTGGTGTCTCTAAATTGCCCATAGATAGTGTGTGTGCCCTGCAATGGACTGGCATCCCATCCAGGGTGACCTCTGCCTTGTACTCTGGGCACCCTGGGATATGTTCAGGCTTACTGTGAGCCTGTACTAGACTTTATAGAGAATAGATACTGAATAGAGATTAGATACTGAATAGAGAATAGATACTGAACAGAGAATACAGTAGATACTGAATTGAGAATAGATACTGTATAACTCCTCTTCAGTTACTTACCATGTTCTTTATTCTATTCTTTTCCTGTTCACACAGACATTATAAACAGCTTTTTCTCCAGACATCCAGACTGCCTCATTTAAATACTTCTCATTACCTTCTGAAATTATGTACTTTAGAAGGATTTTAAAATCATCTACCTTTTTATGTCACTCTAGTTAAAACTACAAATGCAACAAATTCTGTTATGTGTTATTCTATAACTGATAGATTTCTTCAATGAAACAAACAAACAAACAAATTTATTTTTGTATAGCACATTATCACAACATTACATTGTCTCAAAGCGCTTTACAGTATCCCCACCCAAAGCCCCCAGTGAGAAAGCCATAGGTGACAGTGGCAAGGAAAAACTCCCTAGAAGGAAGAAACCTTGGGAGGGACCAGACTCAAAGGGGGAGCCCATCCTCCAGGGGCTGGCAGGGAGAGTCAAATACAGTAAAATTTTAGACACAAACGGGGAGCAGGTGGGAGATGACAAGCCGGTGCCAACGCTCCCCCCAATCGCCAGGCAACCAGAAGGCAGGGAGCAGGTCATACATGGAGGATGACACAGGCAGAACGGCGAGCTGGATGCATGGACGTCATTGGTAGTGGCGACATCACATGGTGCAGGGTGTGCAGGGCATCTTGATAGATTGAGGTCTCCAGGCAGCACCCCCCAGGAGGAGTAGGGGAAATAAAATATACAGTTAGTCAAAGTAGGGGAGACTGTAGGCAGTGCTAACAGTTAGGTGAGTGCAATATGAAGTGCAATGTGCAAGCTCCGGCAGATATGGCTATGGCAGCAAAAGTACAGTAGGAGGGAGAGGCAGGTGGGAATGCATGCATGGGGAGTCCCTGACAAGCGATTCTTCGAGCGATTGTGAAGCTAGAGTGACAGCACTGTCAATTCAGTTTATCCAAAGCCAATGGCACCAATCCCCACCCAGCTCTACACCTCACACTATATGTCTAACTGGGAGTAAGCAGTTAGCTAGAGCTAGAACTAGTGTCCCTATAAGCTAAACTAAACAGGTGTGTTTTTAGTCTAGACTTGAATATTGAGAGTGAGCCTGAATTCCGCACATCCGGTGGAAGATCATTCCACAGCTGAGGAGCTCTATAGGAGAAAGCTCTTTCTACCCTTGGTACTAACAGATACCCTGTGCTTTGAGAACGAAGCAAGCGTGGAGGGTTGTATGAGGTCAGCAGATCACTAAGGTATTCTGGTGCAAGGCCATTAAGTGCTTTATACTGTAGATTAATAGCAGTATTTTATAGTCAATCTGAGACTTAACTGGTAACCAATGAAGGGAGGATAAGACTAGTGTGATGTGATCAAATTTTTTAGTGTTTGTGAGAACTCTGGCTGCTGCATTCTGTACCAGCTGAAGTTTATGTAAGGAACCAGACGGGCAACCAGACAGGAGGGCATTACAGTAGTCCAGTCTGGAAGTTACAAAGGCATGTACAGTATTTATTTTTCTGCATCACGAAGTGAGAGCATCTTACGAAGCTTGGCTATGTTCCATAGATGATAAAATGCAGTTCTAGTAATACTTCTTATGTGAGCATCAAAACATAGATCTGAATCAACTATTATGGTCCACAGTATCGAATGCTGCAGTTAAATCTAGTAATACCAAAAGAGATATACAGCCATGGTGAGAAGGCATACCTGTAGGTAAATCATTCATTACTTTGACTAGAGCAGTTTCTGTGCTATGGTTTGGTCTATAGCCAGACTGATATAATTCATTAGTATTATTTATTTGTAGGAAAGAAGACAACTGACAAAGTACAACCTTTTCCATGATCTTTGAAATGAAAGGAAGATTTGAGATAGGTCTATAATTTCCTAAAACACTAAGTTCAAGATTTGGTTTCTTTAGGACAGGTCTAATAACAGCCATTTTAAAAGGCTTTGGAACATATCCAAGCTTAAGAGATGAGTTTAACACATTTAACAGGGTAGTGCTAATCTGCGGTGCAATTTCCTTGAAGAATTTTGTAGGAATTGGGTCTATGAGGCTAGTAGAGGATTTACAGGAGGAAACTAAGCTCAAAAGTTCTGAGAGTTTTATAGGAATGAAAGATTCAAAGGTCTCATTATTGGTAGGCATAAGACTACTCGGAGTCTGGCAGTCATAGGTAGCTAAGGACGTGCACTGGATGGTCTGTCTAATCTTAGTTATTTTACCATTAAAAAATGTATTAAAGTCATCACACTTAAGAGCTTGCTGGACTTGCAAGTTTAATGAAGAATTCTGTGTTAATCTAGCCACGGATTCAAATAGGAATTTTGGATTGTTTTTGTTCCCGTCTATTAATCTGGAGAGATACACAGACCTAGCAGTCACTAGTGCTTGTCTGTATTTAGACAGGCTCTCTTTCCATGCAGATTTGAAAATTTCTAGTTTAGTTGAGCGCCATTTGCGCTCTAGCTTGCGTGATGCCTGTTTGATTTCATGTGTATGATCAGAGTACCAGGGGGCAGGTTTCTTATCTCTATGCTTTATCTTCTTAAGTGGAGCTACAAGATCTAGTGTGTTACAAAGGGATTTTTCCATGTTTGCAGTTGCCTGTTTAAGTTCATTTTTTGAATTCAAGTTCTTTCTCCATATGAATGTTAAAATCACCCACAATAACAGCTTTGTCAGTACTGACCACCAGGTTTGATAAAAATTCAACAAACTCCTTTAGAAAATTACGGTACGGCCCAGGTGGTCTATACACAATAACAATGGTGATTTGGGCTGAAGAGCTAGAAAGAGATGAGCCAGCAAGACTAAGAACAAGAGTTTCAAATGTGCTAAAACTCAAACCACATTTCTCAGATACTCCTAGGCTGGACTGAAAAATTACAGCAACAAACCTCAGGTTCTTTTAGTTGAATGATGAGGCAGGTTCCTTACGCTTAAGCAGTTTATTAAGACAGAATAAAGATGTTACAGAAAGATGTTTCAAACGACCAGTTCAGTGTCTGTCTGTGTCTGTCTCTGCCCACCCTGAGGGAAACAGCCCCTTTATCTATGGTCTTGGTACAGACTCCTGGAGCCGGGGGGTCAGACGGCCTTGGTGAGAGTAAGTTGTATGAGAGGCGAAGAACATGATGAGCGAGTAGCAAGGACAGAAAGAAATATAAAAATAAGAAATATGAAAGCTATAAATTAATGAACTAAATGAACATAATTAAATAACTACAAAATAACTAGGGAAATCCCTCAATAAGAAAGAGTAATTGCTACAATAATATCACTTTTGTAATAAATGAGAAAAACTACTTTTACTCTGTTGCTTTTTCTTTTTACAGAGGAGTGCCAGGCAAACCACCATAATTTCACAGCCCTAACTCCATACACAGATTATACATTCTTCGCAAAGGCCTTATATAATGGAACACCTGTATCAACAAGCAAGGATAAAACTATCCAGACCCTTCCTGGCAGTGAGTTTTCTGCTTTCTGTGTTTTACTTTTACTTTTATTACAGATTACTCAGTTTAAGGGTTTGGTACAGTGACATCCCATCTTCAGGACTGGGGATGTGATTCTCATCCCAGCTCCTTTAAGTGGAGTTTGCATGCTCTCTTTGTGTTCCCTGGATTACTTCTGGCTAATCTGGTTTCCCACAACAGTCCAAAGACATGCATTTAGGAAACTGGTGCCTGTACATTTCCCATAGTGTGTGAGTGTGTGTGCAGTCTGATAGGCTGGCATCCTGTCCAGTCTGTATCTCTGCCTTATTCTGCTTGGAATAGGCTCAGGGCTTCTCAGCAACCCTGACATGGATGGATGGATGGATGAGTGTGAATCTATAGCAGTTGCCCTCAGCTGGATGCATAGGCTAAGTTCTTTTGTCAAAAAGACATGAAAAATTTGAATTGGACAATTTAATGCAAATTATATAATTCTGAAATTTGCATCAAAGATATTAAATAAAAACTGTGCATTACTCACACAATAGCATAACTATGTAACTAAAGATGTAGGAACAATTCTAGTAAAACAAAAACAATTGAACGTGCAACAAGTCATGTTTACTGTCTTTTTCCATTTAAAATAAAAAAACGATAAAAATATATAAATCCATCCATCTTTCAACCACGTATCCTAGTCAGGGTTGCCAAGGGACCTGGAGCTTATTCTAGGTTACAAGACAGGGGTACATCCACCCGGGATGGGGCCATTCCCGAATGCATTCATCAATTCCAGTGCAAATCAGGAAATGGAACTGGAATTGGGACTGGAGAAAAACTATGGGGAGCAGAATTGCAACTGAAGTCGAATTTCAGGGAGATTTAAATTCCAACTTCAGTTCCAATTCCTGACTTGGATTGGAATTGACAAATGCATTCTGGAATGACCCCAACCCTGACATCCACTCCATTGCAGGGTACATACAGTACCAGTCAAACTTTTGGACACACCCACCCATATAAAGGTTTCTTTGTATTACTCTCTACATTTTAGAATAATTATAAAGACATAAGATAAATTATAAGATTTAATACACTGTCCAAATTGTTGGCACACACCTCAGGCCTCTTGCACATTGCGCTTAAATTGTACAGCAAAATACCTCTTACTTATCACTTATGTATAGATTATGTACAGCTGAACATTTCATATATTTTTTGTTACCATGCACAGCTGCTCGGAGTGACCAGGGTTACATTCCACTACATGTTGTATGTGTACAACTGTGTACGTGACGAATANTTTGTATCTATAAATTGCCCATAGATAGTGTGTGTGCCTCTGCCTCGTACCCTGGGCATCCTGGGATATGTTCAGGCTTACTATGAGCCTGTACTAGATACTGAAGAGAGAATAGATACTGAAGAGAGAATAGATACTGAATAACTTGTCTTCAGTTACTTAGCATGTTCTTAATTCTGTTCTTTTATCATTGTGTCATTATAAACAGCTTTTTTCTCCAGACATCCATTAACTGCCTCATTTCAATACTTCTCATCACATTTAGAAATTATTTACTTTAGAAGGATTTTAAAAATCATCTACCTTTTAGAGTCAAACTAAAACAAATTAAACTTCCAAATGCAACAAATTCTGTTACGTGTTATTCTATAAGAAAGAGTAATTTCTACAATAATATCAGTTTTGTAATAAATTAGAAAAACTACTTTTACTCTGTTTATTTGCTTTTTCTTTTTACAGGCAAGTGCCAGGAAAACCAACACAATTTCACAGGACTAACTCCATACACATATTATACATTCTCTGTGAAGGCCTTGTACTATGGAACACCTGTATCAACAACAAAGGACAAAACCATCCAGACCCTTCCTGGCAGTGAGTATTCTGCTTTCTGTGTTGTATTCTGTCTTTTATTTTTATTACAGATTACTCAGCTTAAGGGTTTGGTACAGTGACATCCCACCTCCAGGACTGGGAATGTGATTCTCATCCCAGCTCCTTTAAGTGGAGTTTGCATGCTCTCTTTGTGTTCCCTGGATTACCTCTGGCTGATCTGGTTTCCTACAACAGTCCAAAGACATACAGTTATGAAAACTGGTGCTGTACATTTCCTATAGTGTGTGTGTGTGTGTGCAGTCTGATAGGCTGGCATCCTGTCCAGTCTGTATCTCTGCCTTGTGCTGCTTGGAATAGGCTCAGGGCTTCTCAGCAACCCTGACATGGATGGATGGATGGATGAGTGTGAATCTATAGCTGTTGCCCTCAGCTGAATGCATAGGCTAAGTTCTTTTGTCAAAAGACATGAAAAATGTGGATTGGATAATATAATGCAAATGATATAATTCTGAAATTTGCATCAAAGATATTAAATAAAAACTGTGCATTACTCACAAAATAGCATAACTATGTAACTAAAGATGCAGGAACAATTGTAGTAAAAAAAAAAAAGTGAACGTGCAACAAGTCATGTTTACTGTCTTTTTCCATTTAAAATAAAAAAATTATAAAAATATGTAAATCCATCCATCTTTCAACCGCGTATCCTAGTCAGGGTTGCCAAGGGACCTGGAGCTTATTCTGGGCAGCTTAGGTCACAAGACAGCGGTACATCCACCAGGGATGGGGCCATTCCCGAATGCAATCATCAATTCCAGTGCAAATCAGGAAATGGAACTGGAGTTGGGACTGGAGAAAAACTATGGGGAG